AAGTATATGATAAGTAAGACTAGCACCTACCTAGAAGCCCAGTCCCAAATTTACTGTAATTCAGACCCCGGTGTATCCACTGTAGTGCAGAACAGACTCACCCCTTTTTATCAGTTTAGGGTTCTGTACAAATAAATAGTTTTAGTTTTGCTCTAAAACTTACATAGCCATCCTTGTTCTTCTTGTCTTTATGTCCTTTTAAAGGTGGTAAAGGCTTTCTGTGATTTCCTAAGCTTAGCTGAGATCAAACACTTTCTTTCTCTCCTGAAATAAGGCTGAGGATACAGAAGGTCTCCAAGCCTTTATATAAACCTTAATGAAAGCTGTTAGCCATCCCTGTATAATGGATGGTGGGAAAACAAACACTCATATTTTAACCATGAGATCTGATTGTGTACAACTTGTCTACAAGTTTATCCCATGTCCCATTATCTTGGCTATGGCTCCTTTCATTCCCGCACAAATCCATGACTGGATGACCCGTACTCGGACTAGTCCAAAACTCTATTATACTTTAAATTGGTGCCTTGGGGAATGGAGATGGGACTTCTGAGAAAGGAGTAGTTGGGAGAGAGTCTGGGAAGCCAAACTGAACCACTTTCTTTCATCAATGCCATAACCTTGGCAAAGTAAAGGAAACTTTGATTTAAGCTTGAACCAGTTCTTATACCCTGTCACTTGCCTGCGTATCCAGATGATGCCAATTAAACTCACTGCTGTTCACAGTAAACCTTAATAAAACTCCAGGTTTTTAACAGTGTCTTGATAGAACCTTAGGAGAAATAGTTTTCTCCAATTCATCCAGGAGTGAAACAGGAGTCAGTCAATTTGCACGAACTCTGGCCTTTCCTGGGAACAGCAAGTACTTATGCCTGAAGAGTGCCTAGAAAACTCTCAGGATGTACTTCAGGTTCTTGACTCTTGCTAGTTTCTTTAGCAAATACTCCCAATACGTAAGTTCTCCAAAATACAAACAAAAATGAGCAGAGACCATGCTCTGAGAGAAAACTATGGAAAGACAAAAATTTTCTTCTGATTTCAGCATGTTCTTCCTTTTGTCACATCCTACTGATCTGAAGGGGGCAGGGGGGAGCAGATGTGGCTTGAAAACAGAGTTTGAGCAGATTTACCACTGCTTCAGCTGACACAGTAAAGAGTCAAAGTGAGCTTACTGCATATAGTGCAAAGTGAAAGAATGAAATGGAATAGGAATAGATGTGGGAACCCTGTTGGTTTCCAAGGAAGGGACTATTTTTAACTTATCATCTTTCCTTTTAAAGTAGTCATAATCATAAAGATAAAAGATATCATTTTAATATCTTGTTTGTTAACTCCAGGATAGTATTCAAACACAAAAATGTCAGTATAAACACTCTGCAATTTACAAATATTAGCATATCAACAAGGTATGCTGTGAAATCAAGAACTGTAAGGTCACCCTGTAAGTCTCATCAGAAGCATTTTAATACAAAAGTTGTAATCACAGAATTACTGGCTTTAAATCACTGAATTCCCTAAGGGAAGTTTTATAATGCAAAGGACTGTAATCACATTTGATTTTCTTTATTGCTAACTCTGCATGGAGATCTGAAAAAATCACTATTAATCTAAGCCAGAAAACACAGACCTTAAATGAAAATGTAAAACAATATCTTAAAATGATGTTCATGCTGATTGCAGGTTCTCATTTACAGGGGGAAGAAAAAAGCCCTATTAGACTGTCCTTTTTCCCAACCACATTTTCTGCATAGGCTATAAAGCAGTTACATGTTAAAAATAAAACATGTTTTTAAGTATAGAATTTTGTTTATCTCAAGCAAGTCTTGATTTGCCTTTTAAGAGAACAGATAATCATGACAAGTTGGGTTTGGTTTTGGCATTGCAAGACTTGGAAACTCTGACTGCTTGCAGCTTAGAAATCTCTGTCCCAGAAGAGTAAACGTTTAAGTGTACTGAGAATTCTCAGGCTTCAGAGAGCGTCACTGATATGCAAGATGTTATGATATAGAATGTCAGACTTATTTCTGATTTACAAAAGCAATTGGAAAAACACATGAGTAATTGTTCCTGAAGAGTTGTTGCTAAATTTGGAGCAGATGCAATGAAATTCAGATTGTTCTGTGTGGTATTAAAAAAAAAAAAGAAAAATTATACTGAAGTTATGCATCTGTTCAGAGTTTAGCATGCATTCAGGGTTGCAAAGAACAAAGGGGAGCCCAGGACCATGTGAATAAGCAGCCTATGTATTCAAGGCTTGATATTATTCATGTCAAAGTTACTGGAAAACTGCCACTGACTTCCTTGAATCTTCGCTGGGCCTTAAGCACACGTCTAGGCTTGATGCCCTCTGTTCCATTGGACACCATTACATAAACAACATTTGATTTAGCTACAGAAATGCTGATGCTCCCAGGAAGCTGGTGAGTATCATACAAACAAACCTTTGTTCAGAACAAAGGCACTGTAGCAATTAATACATTGTATTGCCTTCAGAACAGCAAACCCAACAATTCTTGTCGAACTATCATTGTTTTGGTGTGTTTCTATAGAAAATGACTGTGAAGGATATTGTCTGGCACTACTCAAGTGAAAGAGTTATAGAGGAATATAATGTTTTCAATTAATAAATCACGAAACAATGACTCATCAATACTTTATTACTGTATGTTAATTTTTCACATCTCACATTAATACAGCATGCTGTCTTAACGTCCTAGTCATGCTGATGTTTAAACATAAGCCAGAATTTTTCAAAAATCAAGTGCAAACTTATTGCAAAACTCTGATAATCCACATAGGAGTCAAAAAGACACATTTATCTAGTAGGACTGACTAATTAACAGAGACAACTGATTGTGCTGTAAATTGCTAGAATTGTTTTGGTTCATGGTGAGTCTTGTCATATAAAATCAAGAAAATCATCTCAGAAGGCTTGTTAGACTTTTGGTCTATATGAAGGAAGTCAGATCTAAAAAAGAAATAGAATAACTCTTGGAGACAGTTTTAAATAATTTTTAATGAATTTGTATTTTCTATATACAAAGGAATTCCAAACTGCTCCTACTCATCCCATATCCAATGGAGTTATTTCTTGTGTGTAAAATTATCAGCTTGGGAACATAATGGCAAACTGGTTCTTCTTCCCATTACTTGGAAGGGCACTTTAAAACACTTCCACATGAATTGAAACAATTAGATTGACGCGATATAAGCCCTTAACTTAGAGAGATGATAACTCTTATCAGCTGAAATGTGTGAGTGCAGTCCTCCTTGCTCCTGCTAAAGAAAATGGATTAATATAAAGCACCATGTTGGCTCGTTAACCCAAAAGAGAGCTGGAGGTCTGTGATTTCTATATGCTACTGTTGTCTTCTGACTGAAGGAACATAACATCAGTAACATGATGTCATTTCTGCTTTTGACTGGATGACTAAATCTTTGAATGGGTAATGAACAAAAGAATAACAAAGAGTAAGTAATGTTTTCTAGACTACATTTTAGAAGAACAGTCATGGGTAAAAGTTTTGAAAGCTTCCCTATTTTGCAAATGCTTTCATATGGAAATAGTGGTAAACCAAATGATTTAAGTAAAATATATCAGCAGGTGATACAATCTGTCCCTGTCTACTTATGGAAAAATATCAAAGTGTCTGAATTTATCAGTTCTCTGGGTTTGTAGCTGCTGCAAGCTCTCAGCCACACAGCACAGGATCTTACCCACTTCATTCAAGTCTGTAATCAACCTTTTCCAGAGAGGTTATAGCAGGTTTATACTGGGTTCAAAGACAGCTGATGAGTGTAACTAGGGCAGATAAAAATCATAAGCAAAGAGACTGAAAGTTCTCCTACTTCATGTAGAATTTGTTTGTTGGCTTTTCTAAACAGCTGTACTGAAAGAAGGGTGGTAAGTATTACAGGAGAATATGAGAGTCTTTCTGCCTGTATATATGGAAACACATGTACCCTGACTTCAGGATCCTATTCCTTCTCTCTCTTCTCCCCTTGTAACAGTGAAAAAGCAAAAAATGCAACTTCCTATTCATTTTTTTTCCCCTGCAGATTTCCCCTTCAGGAACTGCACAGACTTTGACCTGGATACAATAATAATATAGATATATTGCCCTTTTTTTTTTTTTTTTTAACCTCTTTTCCTTTGAAGGAAGTTTCAAACGCAATTGTTTCTACTTCACCCCAAAAGTTGCTGATGGTAGCATTTTTGGAAGAGAGAGAGACAGCTATTTCTGTCTACAAATACCAACAGCAACTGCAGAAAGCCCTCATTGCTCCTTGTATGGCAGGTGATTCGTGTTATGCCTGAGCGGTGCTGGTGGTTTTCTCTAATGCACTTTTACAGGGGAGTCATTTCAAGACACACATATATATATATATATTTATATTTATATGTCTATATATACAAATACACACACATTACCTGTACCAACTGCACGCCCAGACGATCCCAAAGCTGCCGCCTCCTCCCGCCGGGCCCACCCAGGGCCACCCCGTCCCGCCCGCAGGTGGCGCTGCGGGGCCGGGCTGCCCTACGGGCGCTTCCCGGCGGGAAGGGAAACGGGACGGAATGTCTCTCTTTTCCTTCTCCCCCCTCCCCTTTGTAAACTCAGGGAAGTTCGGTCAACTGACCGCGCTGCCTGGAATGAACCCCTGTCCCAGTTGGGAGGCAAAACAAACATCATCTGGACCTAGGGCAGCGCTCGCCCCTCCTGCCTCTCCCCATCCTCGGTCCCGCTCCCCACCAGGCATCGCCGCCGGGGCAGCGCAGGGCGGGGGTCCCGGCCCTGCTGCCGAGGCGGGAGCGGGAGCTCTGCGTTCCCTAGGGGAGGTGTGGGAGGAGGAAAAGCGGAGGAGGGAGGATCCGCGAGGATCCAGGTAGATCCAGCTTTTACCGCTCACCAAAAGCCACCAGCAGCAGGACCTCCGCCTCCTCCCTCCCCCCCCATCCCTCCCTTCCTCCCCTAACTCCCTCCCTCCGCTGCCCTCCGCGATGAGACACGGGCCAAGTCGGAGCGCGCCAGCCAGCAGCGGCTCTGCCAGGGGCACACGGATCGCTTCCATGTCGCGGGTGACTGGTAGCCCTGCCGAGGCTCCCCCGGGCGGGGCCGGGGCTGGGAGGCCGGGAGCAGCTGCCCCGTTGCCGGGTGCCCGCGCGTCCCGCGGATGCTGGCGGCGGGGGATGCCGGAGCCGGCCGCGGAATAACATGGGGGGCGGCCACTCCCACAGGGCGCCCGTCTTCGACGAGAACGAGGACGGTGAGTGCGGAGCTGTCCGCGGTACCAAACCCGCGCTGAGCTGGGAGCGGCATCACCGCTGCCCGGGCCGGTCCCGACCCCGCTCCCTCCGGGATCCGCGTAGATCCTCCGGCGGAGCTGCCTGCTGCGGGCGCTGCCCGGGGAAGCAGGGGGAAAGCCTGCCTTTGTCCAGCCATCCACACCGAGGGCGTGGGTGTCTGCTTTTAGGCGCAGCTCAATCCTAGCACATCGCCAGCTGGGGTTTGAGCACATGGCAGGTAACTTCATACCTGTATTTATGAATGGGCATAATTTTTGAGATGGATGCCCACGTTTTTGTTTTCATTTATAGTCGTCTCTTTGCCCACCTGCCTATTTTAGATGGTGATATCTCTCAGTCTGTACTTCTTCCATCACCTTTCCTGTCTGAAACTTTTTTTTACCTTGTTCTATTACTCTGAGTTTCTGCTCCCCACCTAGATAATACATCATAAGAAAGTGTATCTTGTAAAGTTTTTGGAAGGCAGTGGAAAAGTTTGCCTAAAATGTGGTGTTTCTTCACTATTTATGCATTTCTGTGTAATTTTCAAATGTAGACTATTTAACTGGAATTATGTGAATGCATTTCAATTAAAATAATTTTGGCTCTTGAGGCAGAGTTAACAGAGCACTCTTAGGAAGCAGATATTTGTATATTATCATAGAAATGTTTTTAATGTTACTTATGGAATAGATGTAGCTGCCTGTCTAGACAAAGGGTGCTTAATTGGGAGTGTATTGGCTCCCCAGAAGTTCCCAATATATTTTATTAGGAAGTGATTGTGCCTAAATAGACTATCACATTGTTTTGGCTTTCTGGGCTTCATAACAAGTCAGAAACATGTATCTTCTGCCCTATATGTTCAGTACACATGGAGATATTTGCATTGTTTTGCTAGTTGGGGGAAAATATCTAAATGCATGTAAAGTGCTTTACTTGCTTTTAAGACAAGACTACCATCCCCTATTCCTTGACAAAGCTTGGTGAGGTGTGGTTTACATTGTTTGTGCGGGGAATGGGACAGATTATTTGCCATTTGTGTATTGTGGTGTCATAACCGTAATTTTCTTGTACTGATATAAAATTTCAGTAATTTACCATAGGTCATGATCTGTAAACAAACAAGAGAGAAAGAACCCCACACACCTCCCCCCAGGTAAAATCTTGATCATGCACAATTAGTCTTGTAATCCTTGAGGTAACACACTGAGAAATACCCAGGAGTGAAAGCATACTGTTAATCTTGTCTAGATGCCCTAAGGGAAAAAGATATCCATGCTTCTGCCTTTGTAAGATTTTAATTGGACTCTCTTGAGTTGGCAGTTTCAATGAATTATTACCACCTTTTTTTTTTCCATGAGACAAAAGCGTGGTCTGTTTTTGAACAAAATGAACAAAGTTCAATAGTAAATTATTGTAGAGATGCCTTCATACCACTTAGTTCTTTTTCCATCAGGAAAACATTTCTGTAATGCAGCCATTATTAACAGCTAATAAAAAAGCACATGAAGCATTTATGGATTTCTATTTTGTCATTATCTATTCTTTGCATGGTTTTGTTTTGTTCTGAGGTGTCTTTCCCCATTATGCATGTTCCTAACATAATCTTTTATTCCTCTTAAGATATCACACTTAGTACAACAATCTAGTTCAGAAGAGTCCATTGCTTTTGAAACAATAACCAATTTCCTATACTACTTAGAAAATACTGTTCAGGATGGCATTTTTCCAAGTACCTAAATCATATAGGAAAATATCTCCTCTTTGAAAATGTATCTTACAGGGTTTAATACAAAATGAAGTTGTTTTTCATATTCCCACTAGTAGCTATAAGAGTCACTGTTTTCCACAATATTGGACTCAATATGGAATAAAAAATAAAGGTAAAGTATAGTAAGAGAAGGTGGATAAGTGGACTTGTTTCTTATGATGATATAATTTTGCTCAAGACTGACAATGCTTATTGATTCAGAGAGAACTGGAATAGGTGAATTGTGTATGAATATGTAGGAATAGTAGAAAGTAAGCTATTTAGTGTATTATGTATAATGTCACAGCTGTCTCAAAATTAGAAAAATGAGCAGAAAAAATATTGTCATTTTATATTCATACATCTTAATGATGGATGTAGAATAAAGCATGAATTTTGGAAGAAAAGGTTTTAAACCATTTATTGTCACTCTGTTGTCATAGAAAAAAAGTTATTTATTCAGTGTACCACTTAACAAATAAATATATGGAAATAGTGTGTGAAGAGCACCCAGGTACTGCCTGACAAGTCTACAGAGTGTCTGTTCCAGAGTTAAAACTCATGCTTTCTGGTGAGAAGAGATGCTGATCCATTGAGTGGATCTAAAAACTGTAAGTTGCATGTAGACTCCCTACCATATGTAGGATAATAAAAAAATGATCCAACCAGAAACCTGAACTACATACTGTTAGTCCCCAGCTATTACAAACAGTATAACACATCATTATCATATGCTGATCTTTTTAAAAGCTGTAGTACATACCATTTTTACTAGCTACATTAGTTCTCTATGTTCCATTTTTGTTGGATCTCCCAGAACTTCACTCTTTGAATGGTTAGAAACATCTGTTTTCCTGACTGTATGTTTCTTAACCTATTTATAATATTTCCGTTTAATTCAATTTTTTTGTTATTTTAAACTGCTCTCCCCGCTCCAGAATTACTCCAGTGCTCTAATAGGCAGCAAAAATGTCCCCTCTCACTCTTTGATTTGTAGGGAAACCTTTTCTAATTTTCTCTTATTTCTACTGCTTTATCGCTTCCTGTGCCCCTCATCTGTCTGCATTTGAACCTGTCTTGGTAGCACACAGATAACCCAAATTACACAGAGAATTGCAAGGGAGTTTTCAGCAGGACCCTGAGTACGAAAAAAATGCTTCCTATTCTCTACTGGAAATAACTCTTCTAGTACAGCCTTTAATAATATGCTCTTTTCAAGGATGTATCGTGTGGATAGTTCTGTCACCATGTGATCAGTTAGCCCACCAGTGCCTTGCTCAGTAATTTCCATTGATGAGCTTCAATCTACATTAGAAATTTGTGGTGTTCTTATGTACATGACTGAATTTTGGTCCATTTCTATTATTCATAGTCTCAAAGATGATCACCCACTTCTTTCCTGGCATCGCTCTGATTCTTCATTACTTTACTCAGTGTTTTGAATTATCACCATTCTGTTAAGCTCCATGCCAGTGATCAAGACCACTGATTATTTTGTGTAAGTATTCAGCTGGATCATTTCCAGACTTAATCTCCTTTGCTGTTAACCCCTGTCAGCTTCATAATTCCCATCTCTAAATAACATTTTCCCTGTGTTACTGTCATGGTTAACCCCAAACAGCGAGTCAGTCCCACAGAGCCACTCGCTCACTCCCCTGTGATGGGATGAGGGAGAGAACTGGAAAAATAAAAGGGACAAAAATCATGGGTTGACATAAAGACAGCTTAGTAGGGAAAAAAAAGACGTACACACAAGCAAAACAAAACAAGCTTCCAATGGACATGCAGGTGTTCAGCCATCTCCAGGAAAGCAGGGCTCCATCACACCTAACACTAACTTGGGAAGACAAAGCCCTGTGGTCATTTAGGGTCAGCTGTCCTGGATGTGCCCCCTCCCAACTCCTTGTGCACCCTCACTCTCCTCACTGGTGGGCTGGGGTGAGGAGCATAAAAGGCTTTGACGCTGTGGAAGTCCTATCAGCACTACTTCAGCACAAATCCCAAACATAGCCTCAAACTAGCTGCTATGAAGAAAATTAACTGTATTCCAGACAAAACTAGCACAGATGCCCACCTTGCATTTTACCAGTTAATCCTCAAATTGTTCAGCTTTGCTTATACTTTCTTATACATACATCTTCACTGAAATTGAGAAAAATTAAATTTAAACCAACTCTACCATGTACAAAATAAGTTTGTCATCGAGCAGAAATATGTGGTTATTTGTGTGCAAACAACTTCTGGTAAAACCATATTGTATTTATCTAATTTTTTCTTCTTAACCTAAGTTAAAGCACAACAAAAGCCTGAAAAGACCAGGGAATAGAGTCCTTTGTTTGCCTAGAGCTTGTACTGTGGCTAAAGATATGGGAAAGTATGTTTCATTTCTTGATATTTATTGCTGTACATGTTGGATAGACAACTAGGTCTGGTGTAGCAGCATCACTACCTCTTATCAAAGCTAGATACTTAAATGGTGTGGAACTGTAATGCTTTTTCAGACAGTTAAAAAGTACTTTTAAGCAAGATACTACACTAATTGTGTAGTCAATTCAGGTAAAACAATCTCATTTTGGTTAATACTGCTGAAGCAAAGGAACTTGACTCCCTTCACCTTGAATATTTCCTATTTCATAAGAACTACCCTTTCCCGAATATATGTATCTAGTACTAACAACAGGAGACCAAAGGAGTAAATTTTTCCTCATGTTCAACTCTTCAGAAATAGCAATATGTTCATAAGAATGTCAATAGAAGAGTGAGGGGAATATTCACCAATGTTCATAGCAAATTCTCAGTAAATATCATAAGTAATGACTATATTAGCAATATAGTGACAAAGAGTGTCTTTCATGCTGGATTTTCTTGATGGTGCTCAGTTAAAACTTCAATCATATTTAAGAGGTGAAAGTGAAATAGTTAAAAAGGGTCATTTAGAAAAGACCTGACACAGGAGACCTGACACTTCCAAATAGTAATAACGTATTTGTATACATTGTGGTGGAAGATGCAAAGGAAAGGATAAGAAACAAAGCTTTAGAAGCTAGAAGTTGGCTCTGCCAAGTGATATAGCAGTTGTATTTGATTATTTGGGGCTTAAAAAGTCAGTTTTGGTACAGTTACTTTTAGAAATAAGTGTACTGAACGTTTAAAGAGTTTGTTTTTATTTTTGTGGTACACGATTACATTTAAGTAAATATGTATTTCCAAAGAGCTTTTCACTGAGCATCC